ATAATATCCCGGATTACTTTATCCCCCCGACAGCATACAGCATGATAAACATCACATATTATTACTCACTTTTACATACACACACAAATACAATTAAATATGCTGCAACTTGTCTTCTTATTACGTCTGTGGATAATCACGAACTGTCCATTCTCTGTCTTCACCGCAACTCACTAACTGAAGGTGGGTCTCCGAGCAGGCTAAAGAGAATGTCTCTGATTGGACAGACAATTTGGGGTGATTGGCTGATGGCATTCTAACTAAAGGGTCAAACTAGGGGTGCATAAGGAAATCGAAATATGAATGCTTGGCCTTTTTTACAAGCGTAATAAGAACTCGAGTTCGAAATGAAGTAAAACAACAGTACCTCCTCATTCAACCGTCAAGAGAGGTGACCTACACTACCGTTCAAAAGTTTGGGGTCACTTAGAAATGTCCTTGTTTTCCATGAAAACACACATGAAATGAGTTTGAATAGGAAATATAGCAAAATGCATAGAAAATGTAGTCATTGACAAGGTTAGAAATATTGCTTTCGTCAAAGAATCCTCCATTTGCAGCAATTACAGCCTTGCAGACCTTTGGCGTTCTAGTTGTCAATATGTTGAGGTAATCTGAAGAGATTTCACCCCATGCTTCCTGAAGCACCTCCCACAAGTTGGATTGGCTTGATGGGCACTTCTTACGTACCATACGGTCAAGCTGCTCCCACAACAGCTCAATAGGGTTGAGATCCGGTGACTGTGCTGGCCACTCCATTATAGACAGAATACCAGCTGACTGCTTCTTCCCTAAATAGTTATTGCATAGTTTGGAGCTGTGCTTTGGGTCATTGTCCTGTTGTAGGAGGAAATTGGCTCCAATCAAGCGGCGTCCACAGGGTATGGCATGGCGTTGCAAAATGGAGTGATAGCCTTCCTTCTTCAAGATCCCTTTTACCCTGTACAAATCTCCCACTTTACCACCACCAAAGCACCCCCAGACCATCACATTGCCTCCACCATGCTTGACAGATGGCATCAAGCACTCCTCCAGCATCTTTTCATTTGGTCTGCCTTTCACAAATGTTCTTCTTTGTGATCCAAACACCTCAAACTTCGATTCGTCTGTCCATAACACTTTTTTCCAATCTTCCTCTGTCCAGTGTCTGTGTTCTAAGTGACCCCAAACTTTTGAACGGTAGTGTATGTTTTAACAACTCATTATGTTGTAAGTAACAACTCAGTTGCTTTAACAGCTTGCCATAGTTGCCACAGATTTGTTCCTTAGGCATCTGAAATCAAAGGTCTCCTCATGGTCAAGATAAACAAATTGCTTTGGATAGAGTCAGCAAAGTTTCACAAAACGTGTATTATTTGCTTTTACATAAAAATTATTCAGTATCATGCCCACCTCTCTCTCTCTCTCTCTCTCTCTCTCTCTCTCTCTCTCTCTCTCTCTCTCTCTCTCTCTCTCTCTCTCTCTCTCTCTCTCTCTCTCTCTCTCTCTCTCTCTCTCTCTCTCTCTCTCTCTCTCTCTCTCTCTCTCTCTCTTTCTCTTTCTCTCACACCAGAGCCATACTTCCTCAATCCAGAAATGAATACATGCGTGCTCTGTCTTTCTCTCCTGTCAGTGCAAAGTAGGGAAGCCTTGGAAGTGGAGTTTTGCCAAGCCTTTATTCAGTGCAACATTCTTGAGTGTCAGTTCTCCTCTGATTACTCTCTGCCTGCAGGTTTGGAATAAATAGGCTCGTCACCCAGAGCACAGCTGGTGTAGAGCTGTATGATTCCCCAACCAGTCTGCACAGGACCAGCTACCACTCTCGCACCATACCAGCACAGAATTGACCTGCTCGGCCCTTGATGACACACTGAAAATAGTCAAATTCATGTACAGATGCCATATCTTAATTTGATCATCCCGTAGTTGCAGGACATGCAAGCTTGTAGTGTATTCTAGGTTTAAAAAGGCTTCTAAAGTTTGGAATTTCCACTTACAAATGTCAGACTTGATTTTCCCTAATGTAAAATGTATCAACCCATTCAAAACAAATTCCATTAATTTAAATTTACATAACAATTTAAATTTCCTGTTGCTGCAGGATTATTTTCCTGCTGTGTGAAACTGGCTCAAATTAAGATACGGCATCTGTAAGAGATGTAACATACACTGAGTATACCAAACATTAGGAACACCTTCCTAATATTGAGTTGCACCCCCCCTTTTGCCCACAGAACAGCCTCAGCTCGTTGGGGCATGGACTCTACAAGGTGTCAAAAGCGTTCCACAGTAATGCTGGCCCATGTTGACTCCAATGCTTCCCACAGTTGTGTCAAGTTGGCTGGATGCCCTTTGGGTGGTGGACCATTGTTGATACACATGGGAAACTGTTGAGCGTGAAAAACCCAGCAGCGTTGCAGTTCTTGACACAAACCGGTGCGCCTGGCACCTACTACCATACCCCATTCAAAGGCACTTAAATATTTTGTTTTAGTCTTTTTTCTTTTTGTCTTGCCCATTCATCCTCTGAAACGCACACATACACAATCCATGTCTCAATTGTCTCAAGGCTTAAAACTCCTTCTTTAACCTGTATCCTCCCCTTCATCTACACTGATTGAAGTGGATTTAACAAGTGACATCAATAAGGGATCATAGCTTTCACCTGGATTCACCTGGTCAGTCTATGCCATGGAAAGAGCAGGTGTCCTTAATGTTTTGTATACTCAGTGTATATATTTATTGTGTGTCTGTCATTGAGGGATATCATTACTCCAGGGTACACACAGCAGAATAGGAACCTTGTTTACTCATGCGTATACATCCATGCCTCCCAACTTCAATATGTGCAAGTTCAGTTTGTGGATTTATCCCTATACCCCACCCCCAGTTCACTACAGTCTGAGTTAACTACAGTCTGACTATGCTATTAACCATTGTTCACATATCCCTAGTTCCCTACGGCTCATTACACAAAGCTTAGCTGCACTCAAATGAAAAAAGAAGACATCTCAGTTTGGAAGCTTGAGGATTTTTAAAGAAAAAAAGACAAACAGGCATTTCTGTAACTCCTCACAGTCTCAGTGGACTATGATACGCTCTGCCATCTATGAAAACAACTTGTAAACCTCTTGCTGACAAATGTAAGACTGTTTGAGGCAGGTTCATTAACCCATTGATTACCATAAGACAAAGGCATTATCCACACACAATGAGGAAGACCAGATGAGCTAAACTCTGATCGCATGACAACCACTGTAGGATCCTTTGGTGTGTAAGAGGGAAAGTTTATTGGTCCTTAAGAAAACAACACTTTCTCCCTTATCCCTTAGCGTGGTCCTCTGTAGCTCAACTGGTAGAGCACGGCGCTTGTAACACCAAGGTAGTGGGTTCGATCCCCGGGACCACCCATACACAAAAATTTATGCACGCATGACTGTAAGTTGCTTTGGATAAAAGCGTCTGTTAAATGGCATATTGTTATTATATTATTTGTATTTAGTAAAATACAGATGGGCGGGATGGAGTTACATTTCGGGGGTTTAAAGAAATACATTTTTCAGTTTTGTCATGGTGAACAATAGAACATAGGTTTATGCAGATTAGTTACCCATACAGTATACACCACTCATTAAAGTAATGCAACCGGATCAAAAGATATGAGATGCTTGGAGGCATCTTTATAATCTCTACAGTGGTGAAACCCAACCCCATTCATCCCTCCTCTCTTATAAAGGATGAGGGAGAGGCTCAGGGGCTCACAGACACACTGGTTTTCAGGTTGTCTATCACTGCTGCTACACACTCAGGAAGCTAACTGGAACCTTCCATCACTGCTGTTCTTCTCTAACTACCTGCACAAAACCAGCATTTTGGACATTGCACAAGGCTACCTCACCTGGATCTGTAGCACGCAAAAAAGGCTTTGGATTGTGAGTCTACAATGGAGTTTTGCTCAGTAAAAAGACAATCTGCCTATATGCATTCTTAAAAATGAAATAGAGGGAGGGTGTGTGATTTTAAAAAATGAATGGGGGTGTTAACAAATCATAACATTTCAGATTAAAAACTAGTGCTACTTTATTTTAGATGAATCTGATGACTTGTGCACTAATCTTGTGCACAAATATCCATTTTCAAATACTCCATGTTGAGCAATCGTGTTGTCATCATTGAACATGAAGTAATTTGGTAGATAAATCATGTAGATGCAAAAATGCTCCAAACTTTATCCTTGGTTGTCTCTTTCTGCTGGAGGGACAATGCTGTTCCCTACTGTGACCTGGCTCCTGTTGGTAGCAGGGCTGTTGGGTGTCTTGGCTCAGGACTACTATGAGGAGAGAACAGTGAACAAGAGACCCAGGGGCAGGGGGGCCCAGCTGCAAGCTGCAGCCATTGCAACTAACGTGCAAAAACATAATGGACAAGGTATGAGAAAAAAAACACACATAATTTTTAGAGTATAGTTGCTCATTGCAAACAGTTGCCATTTCAAACAGTGTGATCGCAGATGTCTTATTATGCCTAATTTCTGTGACCATAATTCATCAATCCAATCAAAATCAAATTCCAGCTAAACAAGAGGTTGAGCATTCATTATAAAATCACATGTTAAAGTTGATACATTTGGTTAACACAGGTAAAGAAAGCAGATAGATATCTATCCTATGAGCGGATGTCCTGTGATATACTACTGTACCTGCAATGTTCCCAAGGTGTTGATATCCTACACCATTTTTGGTCTATGTCATATTAACGTGATTTAGCTTGGTCTTTCTATCCGTGTGAGAGATGTAATATAAAGACAAAGAGTTCAGTTCAGATAGGGTTTTTGGTGTTTTGACTTGACTGTCATAACGTTGAATGATTGCACTCCATAGTCATCTAAAAATGAGTGAAGATAGAAAACACAGGAATCTTTATTTGAAGGGCGCCTACACAAAGCACATTCATAACCCACAATTACATTTTTCAATAGAATAGCCTCTTGGTGCAATTGTTTGTCTCTGACTCGTCTTCACATGAACACAGCCATTTTAGATGAGGACTGTGGTCTGGAGCTTACTTTCCTGCTGGACAGCTCTGAGAGTGCCAAGGAGAACCATGAGCAGGAGAAGCGCTTTACCATGGATGTGGTGGACAGGCTCCAGGCCGCCCGTCTGCAGACGGGACGCAGTCTGAGCTGGAAGGCGGCCCTGCTGCAGTACAGCAGTCACGTCATCATCGAGCAGACCTTCAAGCAGTGGAGGGGCAGTGACAACTTCAAGTCCCACATCACCCCCATTGTCTACATCGGCCACGGTACCTACACCACCTACGCCATCACCAACATGACCAAGATGTACCTGGAGGAGTCCAGCCCAGACAGCATCAAGGTGGCCATGCTGCTCACTGACAGCATCTCCCACCCCAGGAACCCAGACATCTTCTCAGCTGCCGCCGATGCCAAGAACCAAGGGGTGAAGTTCTTCACGGTGGGCATCACCCGTGCAGCCAACGAGTCAACCAACGTGGCCCAGCTGCGTTTGTTGGCCAGCTCTCCTGCCTCCCGATACCTCCACAACCTGCAGGATATTGACATTGTGGAGAAAGTCCTCAAAGAAATTGTGAGTATGATCTGACTTGCATTGCTTCTCAAGAAACACAATGTTGGGTAGTGATGATGACACAATGACACAGTTGTGATTTACATGTAATCAGAGTTGAATTACACGTTGCAACCAAACTCATCTCAGGAGGGATTTTTAACCATCATACTACCAACTACCATGTTTTACATACATGGATTATCAACTTAGTTCATTTTGATCCCAAGGAGAAACTATTGGAAAAAGCAACAATCATAGCAAAAAATCTACTTAATTCTTATTAAAATATCATTAGACATGTAAATAATGTTATCTGATAAATGTTATCTGATAAATGTTTCCCTTAAATAATGTGCAGCTTTTTTCCAAAGTACAATCCACATAAGTACAAAAAAAAACAGATTTACCATCATTTGATTGTAGTATCATTTCGTTTTTAGAATTATTGTCATATTTGTGTGGTAAAAACGACTGCCAAAATTTGAAATATACTTAATTATATTGACATAAAGTGATTCATCCATTGATCCTGAGAGACAATGACCAAAAAATGTGGCTTAGTTTTCTTTATTTACTTACCCCACAGCCAGCATTAGCATCGCTGCTAGTGAAACAATGGGAGTGGTATTGCCAAGGACAGCATGCCCAAATCCTCAGTCACTTCAAACCAAATTTTACAGCAACCACATTTATATATATTTTTTATTTAACTAGGCAAGTCAGTTTAGAACAAATTCTTATTTACAATGACGGCCTACACCTGCCAAACCCGGATGACGCTGGGCCAATTGTGTGTGCCAATCACGGCCGGTTGTGGAATCAAACCAGGGTGTCTGTAGTGACACCTCAAGCACTGAGATGCAGTGCTTTAGACCGCTGCGTCACTTGGGAGCCCCAAATACCATAACAAGTTGCACATATAGAATAGTAGAGGATATTATAGGAATTCTATTTATATAACATTTCCCGTAGAATATTTGTTTTAGAAGAATACACACCAATACAGCACTATTTATACATTCAGAGGGTAGCTGGTTCTGTATTACAGTTCTACCAAGTATGCATACCGCTGACCGACTTTTATGAGCTGTTTTGACTGCAACTAAGCATATATGTAAGGTAATTTAGATTTTGTACATGGTCATACATAGTTATATCCAGTTATGACCATAGGCAAGTACATGAGGTCCTTAATTTCTGCAGGTGATCTGTCTATCTGGTCAAAATCACTGATACAGGTCCCTCTCCGTCCTCTGAGGATATGTCTAACTTAATATTATATCTCCAGAGAATCCAAGATTCAAATAAATACTTTTTTAGATTTGCCCTAGAATAACTACTTTTCGGAGAATACACATCAATACAGCTCTCTATGTAGATTCAGAGTGTATCGGAGTTCTGTATTGCAGTTCTATCAAGTATTTATACCATTGGCAGACCTTTTATACCATTGGCAGAAGTTCATATGCAAAAAAATAAGGTAACTTTGGTTTTGTACGCAGTCATACAATACATGGTATAGAAAAGTACAATCTTAGGCGAGTAAATGGGGAGTTATATCTCTGCAGATGATCTGTCTATCTGGTCAAAATCACTGATACAGGTCCCCCTCCAGCCTCTATAACACTGAACAAAAATATAAACGCAACATGCAACAATTTCAAAGCTTTTACTGAGTTACAGTTCATATAAGTTAATCAGTCAATTGAAATACATTCAATATGCCCTAATCTATGGATTTCACATGACTGGGAATACAGATATGCATCTGTTGGTCACAGATACCTTAAAAGAAAAGTAGGGACGTGGATCAGAAAACCAGTCAGTACCTGGTGTGACCACCATTTGCCTCATGCAGCACGACACATCTCCTTTGCATAGAGTTGATCAGACTATTGATTGTGAATGTTGTCTCACTCCACTTCAATGTCTGTGCGAAGTTGCTGGATATTGGCGGGAACTGGAACACGCTGTCGTACACATTGATCCAGAGCATCCCAAACATGCTCAATGGGTGACATGTCTGTTGAGTATGCAGGCCATGGAAGAACTGGGAAATGTTCAGCTTCCAGGAATTATGTACAGATCCTTGCGACATGGGGCCGTGCATTATCATGCTGAAACATAAGGTGATGGCGGCGGATGAATGGCACGACAATGGGCCTCAGGATCTCGTCACAGTATCTCTGTGCATTCAAATTGCCATCGCTAAAAGGCAGTTGTGTTCGTTGTCCGTAGTTTATACCTGCCCATACCATAACCCCACCGCCACCATGGGGAACTCTGTTCACAACGTTGACATCAGCAAACCTCTCACCCACACAACGTCTGCCATCTGCCCGGTACAGTTGAAACCGGGATTCATCCATGAAGAGCACACTTCTCCAGCCTGCCAGTGGCCATCGAAGGTGAGCATTTCCCCTCTGAAATCGGTTATGACGCTGAACTGCAGTCAGGTCAAAACCCTGGTGAGGACGGCGAGCACACAGATGAGCTTCCCTGAGACGGTTTCTGACAGTTTGTTCAGAAATTATTCGGTTGTGCAAACGCACAGTTTCATCAGCTGTCCGGGTGGCTGGTCTCAGACGATCCCACAGGTGAAGAAAACCGGATGTGGAGGTCCTTGGCTGGGGTGGTTACACGTGGTCTGGGGTTGAAAGGCCGGTTGGACGTACTGCCAAACTCTCTAAAATGACGTTGGAGCCGGCTTATGGTAGAGAAATGAACATTCAATTCTCTGGCAACAGCTCTGGTGGACATTCCTGTAGTCAGCATGCCAATTGCATGCTCCCTCAAAACTTGAGACATCTGTGGTATTGTGTTGTGTGACAAAACTGCACATTTTAGAGTGGCCTTTTATCATGCTGTTTAATCAGCTTCTTGAAATGCTACACCTGTCAGGTGGATGGATTATCTTGGCAAAGGAGAAATGCTCACTAACTGGGATGTAAACAATGTGTGCACAACATTTTAGAGAAATAAGCTTTTTGTGCGTATGGAACATTTCTGGGATCTTTTATTTCAGCACATGAAACACTTTACATGTTGCGTTCATATTTTTGTTCAGTATAGTGAAACATGGGACCGGTGTGTGAAGAGGGGAGGCAGAAATATGATACATTATGCTAGAGTTTACTAGTCCTGTAATCTAGTTGTAAATGTACATGGTTTTGGTATGTTTTGGATGGTATATGATTGTCTCTAACTGTTTTATCTCTCTCTACACAGACTGACCTGGCTGATGAAGGGGTAGGTACTATTACATTTTGATGCGTTGAAATGCTATCCTCATTCAACAAATACATAATCAAGTTCAGGGACACTGCATGGTCATATACAGTTACATGTTGATTCTGAAACCATGCCTTGCCTTTTTGAAGTGTCCCCTGTCAAAACTATGTGCCTGTGAGAAGGGCGAGAGAGGACTCAGTGGTTTAGCCGTAAGTACTTTCAGTCTTTCCTTTCCAAACACACTCCAATCACAGAACACTTTTCCTTTTAAATTTAAGAAGGTGATTTATTCCTGAAGGCCTGAATTCAATTAAAAGTTCTAAAGAGGATTCTTACATGGTTCTGATATTGTGGGTAATTGCTTGGTTTTGGATACTTACAATAATTGCTTGCTTTTTTCTAAGCACACCCTGTGGTCAGAGAAAACTGTCTTTCTTACATCTTCATTACCAGAATTCTGAAAATACTCTGAATGATACAGGACAAGACAGGTTTTGGGTTGTTTTTCTCAATTAATTTCCTATAAGCCTCAGTTGCTAATTTTCCTTGCCTGTCCCGGCAAGTTATTGCACATTTCCCTTCCCACATAAGATGTCCCCCGTGGAAACCATGGGCATCCTATGAATACCTTTACCCCCAATAAAACAGGACCTTTGCCATCAGAAAAAGCACTTACTACCTTCATTGTCAGCTAGTCAGAGATGGAGAATGTTGAAGGGGGCTTAAAGTGTTAGATTAGGTTCTTCTACATCATCAGAACAGACTAGAGGCCCCCCTCTGGATGGATGACAGCCATGTTATTGTCAGGGTCCTCAGCGTCTGACAGTTAGTCTTGTGCTGACAGACAGCTGCATGATCATTACCCAGGTGCTTTCTCTACAGAGAGAGTCCTTACATTCTTACACTGAGACTTAAAGGGTCTCATAATTGCTCTCATTAGTTTAACCCGCGATTAGCTGCGGATGGCAACCGCCACACGCTGTCCATGTGCCGCATGGCAACCTGACCCCTCACCTTTTGGCCAAGCAACAACATGTCCATCCTTGACTTCTACCATGATACACCCCAATACACAGACACAGACACAAAAAGCCACCCCACTTGTGACCACAGGTCCTTTTACCACCCGCACTAAGCAAACAATACCGACTCCCTCAGGGAAACTATGCTTCTCTTTCACTTTGCCCTTCTATAGCCAGTGATGGCTTATCTCCCACTGACTTGCTGCAGATAATTTGCAAAGGATAGTGGCCTTTCGTCAGACATGTTTTGTTTTAAAGTGAGTTAAATGAATCTTGTATTGTTCCTTCATTCCACAGGGGAAGAAGGGTCGCCCAGGAGAAGATGGAGTCCCTGGTCTTAAAGGATCGAAGGTCTTTGATTTGTTATGATTCTTTAAAATAATTTAATTGATTTACATACCTGTTGTGTTCCTGATGTCTCTCTAAAATGCAAGATACAGCAAATGTCCATGTACTTTTTTTTGTATAGACATACTGTATATTCCTAATACTATGAGTAATCTAAATTAAATAGCTCCAGTGTGTACTGTGTAAATAATATACTGCCATGTTCTCCTTTCTTTTTAGGGAGAGGGAGGACTAAGTGGACTTCCAGGTCGGGACGGCAGAGAGGTGAGTGATACACTTAAACATTTAGTACTTTTGCGGATATCCAGACATCTATGAATACAGATGTAGGATGAGAACTTTCCTGCAATGCAGGAAATGTAAAATGTGTAGTGTATCTGAAGTTTAAAAAGGCTTCTGAAGTTTGTCATTTCCACTTTGAAATTTCATACTTGATTTTCCCTTACGAAAAATGTATCAACTTAACTTATCAATTTATAATAATCCACATAATAATTCACATTTCCTGTTGCTGCAGCAATATCCTACATCTGTATATTGATTAAGCATTTATCAATGTACGTACAGCTGTTGCTCACAATCTAACCTATTATACTGTGTTTATTTGCAGGGAAAACCTGGTTACAAAGGAGAGAGGGTTTGTCTTTCAAGTTGCCATTAATATTTATGTTATTTTGAAACTACAGTACATTCATATGACATATTGCTTTCCATTACACAGGGTGAGAGAGGCGAGTGTGGCACTCCAGGAATTAAAGGAGACAGGGTATGTATGAATAATCCGCCTTATCTGCTCTCTGTGTCATGCTTTAGTTCTATTGGTCATACTACAGGTTGATTTATACAGTACCTTTATTTACTGTTTCATTGAATGTCCACTCCCAGGGTCCTGAGGGTCCAATGGGCGCCAGAGGAGTCAGAGGTCTCCAGGTGGGTAAACTACAGCGACATGTACCTAGAAAATGCCCATATTCAGATCAAAGTGTTATACCTTTGTGAAACTCCTGTATAAACACATATATACTCACTCCATGCTCCATTCCCCTCCCACACATACACACACACACACACACAATGTAGTTGATAATGTGTGTAATCTCTTCCCAGTAATTTAGCATCCGTATCTGGGTAGCCTTCACTTTATATCCAGATGTGAATTGTGTCCTCCAGCACAGCAGCAGACAGGTACCTTTGTTAAGGAGTGTTCTTTGTTCCTCCTCAGGGTTTACCCGGACCACAGGGTGACATTGGACCCGAGGGCCCTCATGGAAAGAAGGTTAGTAAGAAGACACCTCATACTTACCTCATCACACACATCTGCTGTCACCTGTACACTTCCTTTTAATAGAACTGTAAAAGAGAGATTCCTGCCACCTGCTCTACTACCTGGGAGTTGAGGGGCGTGTCTCTCTCCCTTAATAGGCACCTGTGGAAGATATTGGCCCGGTGTCAGTACCTTCCCCTTCATTAATTCAGCAGTGTGGGGATTAATGCTAGTTTTCACATTCACACGCAGGTTCAGTTAATGGCAGGAGTTCTGTTTCTAAATATACAGTACACTAGGAACTGCCTAAAGCACTGTCAACCTCCTTGCCAGTCCTCTATAAGGGATTGTCAAGCCACTGACTAACAGCTATGAAAAGTCAAATGTTCTCTCTCCGTCCTCTCTGGGCAGCTTTAAAAATAAAGTAAAAAACAGTTTGATGTCTTCTGTGCCCATATGAATGACCCCTATGATGTAACTGCAATGATGAGATAGATGTTCTTCTTCTCTGTTATTTGTTTTCTTATCTCGTTGTCATACTGTATTCAACCGTCTTGGATCTTGCCTAGCCATCTTGTCTCAAGAGGACCACAATGGAAATAAGTCCCAGACTTTATTGTGTGTTATCCTCGATGATTTTACTCATGTGCATGTATGGCTTTTTCAAGTTTTATGTGTGCTTGTTTTTAAAAATGGTTGAATTATTAAACTAAACTAAGCTGTCCGTTGGAAAGAGCTAAAATAGGGTAAACACTTAGAATGTCAAAGATAGATGTTGCTCCCATAATATGAGTATGTTAGCAGCTGAGAGAATGGGTCACATAATTTTCTTGTGACTTATCTCTTACTAATTGAATCAGCCCTACCATCAAATAATATGTTTCAAAAGTGAATGGATTATTGTGGAAAGAGCAATGTTTATAGTCTACCCTGTTATTAGTCTTGTTTATAGTCTACCCTGTTATTAGTCTTGTTTATAGTCTACCCTGTTATTAGTCTTGTTTATAGTCTACCCTGTTATTAGTCTTGTTTATAGTCTACCCTGTTATTAGGAATATGTTTTAAGAAAGGAATGTAAGGTGTTGTCATTTAAATGAGGTCAAATGGGATGGTTACGTTGGTATGGAAGTATGGAATGAAACGTGTGAGAGATCTGCCTTGCTTTGGGAAAACTTTTTAAGTGGTTATCTCAGCTTTCTTCTTGACAGGCTCCACTTCTTTGTTGTTTCTTGTTTAGGATGAAATCTCTCCTAAATCGTGAGTAAATGTCATGATTCCTGCAAACTCTGCAGCGAACCATTGCCTCCATTAAAATAGCTCTTAATTGTTTTGAGACTGGATGTCTGGCTATAGGATGTGCCTGACTTGTTTTAATTTGTAGGGGCAAAATAGTTTTCCCACTTTTCCATGTACAGTACAGTTCAGACAATAGCTCCCCACTGGGTATACACTGGTTGAATCAACGTTGTTTCAACATCATTTGTCAGCGTATTGTGACATGGAATCAACATGGAAAATACATTGGATTTGAAAAAGTTATCAACCAGTACTGTTTTCATCTTATTTCAACCAGCTTTGTTAACATTGAAATTAGGGTAAAACTTCAACTTAAATACATTGACTTAACAGGTTGTTACAGTGTCTTCAGAAAGTATTCACACCCGTTGACTTTTTCAAAATGTTGATGTGTTACAGCCTGAATTTAAAATGGATTAAATTGAGATTTGTTTTGTCACTGGCCTACACACAATATCCCATAATGTCAAATGAAAAGCTGACATGTCTTGAGTCAATAAGTATTCAACCCCTTTGTTATGGCAAGCCTAAATAAGTTCAAGAGTAGACATGTGCTTAACAAGTCACATAATAAGTTGTGTGCAATAATAGTGTTTAACATGATTTTTGAATGACTACCTCATCTCTGTACCCCACACATACTGTAAAATTATCTGTAAGGTCCCTCTGTCGAGCAGTGAATTTCAAACACAGATTCAACCACAAAGACCAGGTTTTCCAATGCCTTGCAAAGAAGGGCACCTATTGGTAGATGGGTAAAAATAAGTTGACTGACTGAAAGGCAACTTGCCTTAGTTCTATTGTCTACATGCAACGTTCAGACATGGCTGCAACAGAGAATGAACTTACTTTTGGATCAGATTCAGGTTTCTACACTGAATCTCCTCTAGTGTCTCTGCCACAGCTAGGGCCTGCTGGGCATTAAACTCTTCTGCCATTAGCAGTGCTGTACTCTCCAGCCTGAAAGAGAAGTGGTTAGTGTCTTCAGAAAGTATTCACACCCCTTGACTTTTTTCACATTTTGTTGTGTTACAACCTGAATTTAAAAGGGATTAAATTGAGATGTGTCAATGATATACACACAATACCCCATAATTTCAAAGTGGAATTAAGTTTTAGAAATGTTTACAAATGAAATATAAAAAATATAAAGCTGAAATCTCTTGAGTCAATAAGTATTCAACCCCCTTGTTATGGAAAGCCTATATAACTTCAGGAATAAAAATGTGCTTAACAAGTCATAGAATAAGTTGCATGGACTCGCTCTGTGTGCAATAATGGTGTTTAACATTATTTTTGAATGACTACCCCATCTCTGTACCCCACACATACAATTATCTGTAAGGTCCCTCAGTCGAGCAGTGAATTTCAAGCACAAATTCAACGTCAAAGACCAGGAAGGTTTTCCATTGCCTCGCAAAGAAGGGCATTGAATATCCATTGAGCATGGTGAAGTTATTAATTACACTTTGGATGGTGTATCAATACACCCAGTCACTACAAAGACACAAGTGTCCTTCCTAACTCAGTTGGCGGAGAGGAAGGAAACCGCTCAGGGATTTCACCATGAGGCCAATGGTGACTTTAAAACATTTACAGAGTTTAATGGCTGTGATAGGAGAAAACTGAGGATGGATCAACAACATTGTAGTTACTCCACAATACTAACCTAATTGACAGAGTTAAAAGAAGGAAGTCTGTACAGAATAATAATATTCCAAAACATTCATCCTGATTGCAACAAGGCACTAAAGTAATACTACAAAGAATTTGGCCAAGCAATTAACTTTTTGTCCTGAATACAAAGTGTTATGTTTAGGACAAATCCAATACAGTACCACTCTCCATATTTTCAAGCATAGTAGTGGCTGCATCATGTTATGGGTATGCTTGTAATTGTTGAGGACTGGGGAGTTTTTCAGGATAAAAAATAAACTGAATGGAGCTAAACACAGGCTAAATCATAGAGGAAAAACTGGTTCAGTCTGCTTTCCACCAGATACTTGGAGATGAATTCACCTTTCAGCAGGACAATAACCTAAAACACAAGGCCAAATATACACTGGAGTTACTTACCAAGAGAGTGTTCCAGAGTGGCCAGGTTACAGTTTTTACTTAAATCTACTTGAAAATCAATGGCAAGACCTGAAAATGGCTGTCTAGCAATGATCAACAACTCATTTGACAGAGCTTGAAGAATTTTGAAAAGAATAATGGGCAAATGTTGCACAATCCAGATGTGGAAACTCTTAGAGACTCACAGCTGTAATCGCTGCCAAAGGTGCTTCTGCACCTTGACTCGGGGTGTGAATACTTATGTAAATTACATGTTTTTGTATTTCATTTTCAATACATTTGCAAACATTTCTAAAAACATGTTTTCACTTTGTCATTGTGGGGTATTGTGTGTAGATGGGTGAGAGAAAAAAATATTGAATCCATTTTTAATTCAGGCTGTAACACAACCAAATGTGGAATAAGTTAAGGGGTATGAATACTTTCTTAAGGCACTCAATCTAATTTCAACATAATCATCAGAACTTTGTATAAATTGAAATTGCATTGAATATTCCACATAGAAACGTAAAAATATTTTTAATCCTATATTCAATATACTGTATATTGGGTAGTTTAAATTATGTTGAATTTTAGATTTGATTAGACATATTTTATTTGACCTTGTTTCAATGTTGATAGTAAAATGGTTTGTTTGAATCAATGTAATTGTTTCAACGTCATGATATCAACCTAAATAAAGAGGTATATTGAAATAAAATGGGAAGCCAAAGTCCAAACATTTCTGCCTGAACAGTGACTCATACTGGTATATGATGGGTAATGCACTTCAGTGAGAACAATCATTAGAAGTAGTTACCATTATCCCTATAAAAAGAATGCAAAATTCATGATATTAATAAAAGTTTACCTTCTATATTGTATTTTATATATGTTATTCATAAACTTCTAAAAATCCAATCAACCATGGATGAATGATAGTATACCTAGCTTCGTGTTGAAATTATCCTTTGGGCAAATCAGATTTCAATGTAGCATACTGTATATAAACCCAACAAATTTACTTTCACATACAGCTTGTAGAAGAAAAGCTAAAGAAGTTACTTTCAACTATTCAATGTTATTTAGGTAGTCTATGCAAATGAGTATGGAAGCTGATCAATGTCTAAATGTGTTGACATGATAGCTCAACTGAATCAAAAAGCTTGTTTCCAAAGCTAAGCAGGTTACATAGAGGTAGCCTGGTGGGTAGGAGTGTTGGGCCAGTAACCGAAAGGTTACTGGATCGAATCCCCGAGCTGACAAGGTAAAAATAGGTTGTTCTGCCCCTGAGCAAGGCCACTGTTCCCTGGGCGCCGATGATGTCGATGAAGGCAGCCCCCTGCACCTTTCTGATTCAGAGGGGTTGGGTTAAATGCAGAAGACACATTTCAGAAGAATGCATTCAGTTGTACAACTGACTAGTTATTTTCCTTTAATCTGGATGGTAGACTCGTTCTCACTGAAGTGCATTACCCAGTCAATGTTGTTCAGGCAGGAATCGTTCACATTTTATTACAATATACCTCTTTATTTAGATTGATAGCATGAAGTTGACACAATGACGTTGATTCAAACATGCCATTTTCAACATTGAAACAAGGTCAAATAAAATATATCTAATCAAATATGAAATGTAATATAATTTAGGAAGAAAAATATTTTGTACATTTCTATGTGGAATTTTCAACTCAATTTCAACCTATACATAGTTCTGATGATTATGTTGAAATTAGATTGATGTAACAACCTGTTAGTCATGGTAAATCAATGTATTTAAGTAGAAGTTATACCCTAATTCCAATGTTTACAACACTGGTTGAAATTAGATGAAAACAGTACTGGTTGATGACTATTTTCAAATCCTATGTATTTTCCACGTTGATTCCACATCGTAATACGTTGACAAATTACGTTGAAACAACGTTGATTCAACCAGTGTGTGCCCAGTGGGTCTGCTTGATTTAAAACATCTGTTTGAGTAATTACATACCTTTGAGATCAGCAGTTCTGATATGAGAGGGTATTTTTCTCCATCAACTTCAAAAAGCCTCTGTGCAAGTATTTTCTGAGCAATACTAGGCTTTGTTTATAAGTTTATATTTAGGAAGAATATAATTGGTATCATATCAATATATCTCTAAGTAAGATAAATAAAAGGACAATGTTTCTATGTGATATCAGTTAACATTAATCTGAATCTAAATCTAAAACTACTGGATGTAAAAGGTTCTCTGATCTGCCTAGACTGAATTAAAGCTTTGGACCGCCCTTTAGCTGTAAGCCACTCCCTTGTTCTTGATATTGGATCTGTATTATGCTGCTATCTTTGTTTGCTGCTAACTTTAATCTGTGTCTCTTGTGTTTGTCATCACAGGGTGACCGGGGTCCAGCTGGCCCGGCTGGAATTCAGGGAGAAAATGGTATTGGACTTCCTGGACCAAAGGTAAGTTTATTCTGTTATTGCTTTTGTCTAACTAATTAATTGTTTTATGTTACCTGTTCCATCTCACCATGTCTTGTTTGCAGGGTGATCTGGGATTCCAGGGAAAACCCGGCCCCCCTGGTCCACCAGGGTTGGGTGAACAAGGCCAACCAGTGAGTGGACTGAAACTCCCGACTAGCATTTTACTGTAGCTTACTACATTACGTAGTTTGGTTTCATTGACAACCTGATAGACTTTTTAAAACTTTGTGAGTGATACTGTACACTGAGTTTACAAAACATTAAGAACACCTTCCTAATATTGAGTAGCACCCCTTTTGCCCTCAGAACAGACTCAATTTGTCAGGGCATGGACTCTACAAGGTGTTGAAAGCGTTCCACAGTGATGCTGGCCAATGTTGACTCCAATGCTTCCCACAGTTGTGTCAAGTTGGCTGGATGTCCTTTGGGTGGTGGACCATTCTTGATACACACGGAAACTGTTGAGCATGAAAAACCCAGCAGCGTTGCAGTTCTTGATACAAACCGGTGCGCCTGCCACCTACAATCATACCTCATTCAAAGGCACTTCAATCTTTTGTCTTGCCCATTCCCCCCTGAATGGCACACATACTGTACACAATCCATGTCTCAATTGTCTCAAGGCTTAAAAATCCTTCTTTAGCCTGTCCCCTCCCCTTCATCTACACTGATTGAAGTGGATTGAACAGCTGACATCATTAAGGGATCATAGCTTTCACCTGGTCAGTCATGGAAAGAGCAGGTGTCCTTAATATTTTGTATACTCAGTGTATATCACAGTAGGAAACGTGAGTTGGGATGACAACTACAAATGCAGTGTCTTCTGACCCAATGTTGGTAAAAGGATAATGCTGGTTTATTTTACAGGGGCCTCAAGGGCCACAAGGTTTTCAAGGGGAGAAAGGACCCCACGGCGAGGGGCTCCCTGGGCCAAAGGTATGATTACGAGTTTGTCATGACTAAAACGAAAAATACAATAGAGAAATTATCTGGCTACAGCGAGAATGCGTTCCTCTTTATTTTTATACTCCATTCTATCTAGTGAGATTTGTGTTAGTCCACAGCATCATTTCTGGGGTTACCGTTAGCTACAATGCTGGAAGCAAAATGTCCACCCAAAAGACCTTCGTTTTATTACACCAATAGCAGAAACAGACCTAAACCTTCCTTAAATCAGATGGCTTCTTAACCTCTTGATTCTACCAGCGCCTGGGCTGTAGAAGATGGCCATCTGTTTGGCCATAATTGACCTCAGAAACTGATAAGGACTTACATGAGCATGAAAGCACAACTCTCATTCGCTGGATTTTAGAGGGAAGAAATGTGTAATCAACACATTGGCTGCATCTGTCAAAGCCAGGCCCTGCTCTTCTCCAAAGTAGTCTACTCACAGCTAGTTCTCAGCCAAGTGTTACCATTCATGTTGATGTGCACAAAACAATGTCATTTCTCCATGTTGCAACTTGTAGAGTGACATATAATATTTTATATGTGGACTGTTCAAACATCACATACACATGGAGAGGGCCTGGATTTCCATGGGATTTAAGAGTGGCAAGCAATCACAAAGTGGAATACATTATGAAAACATAGCTATCATTTTTTATGACAGCACTTGGAGTTAATCTTGGGTTTTATTTTAGTTATATTATCATCATAACACGTAGAGACATGAACATGAACACAGTGCTTATATTGGATGAGTAAACATATAAACTATCCTCATGAACAAAGTATTTAGCAATGGAATACTTCCTTCAGTCTGTTTTTCCTAGTTCAAGTCGGAACCTGAGAGCATATTAAATAATGGCACTGTCGAGAGTTTGAGCTGTGGTTGATGCACTTACATTTGGCAGTAGTAGGCAGATCCTGGAAAATGAGTGTAACACAGAAAATGTCCTGAGGCAACCAAACATCTGTCATTGGCTCTTATGGGAAAGCCCCCCTTCCCAAAAGGGGTCATGGCAGTTCTAAAGGACAGGTCAACCCCCCCAACAATTAATATGTTCCTGTCTGTGTGTCTGCATTTAATTATTTTCAACTGTTGCTGAGGCAATAAACATGCCTTAATTCATCGCCCTCTTCCTCTGCCTAGTTTGAGAAGGGTAAGCAACACTCCTCAGAAGGATAACGTTAACAGATTTGGTAATAACATAACTTCAGTCATATAGGACCATGTCATACTACTCGCAAGACAGAGACAGGTGCTAACTTAACCCTCCCGGTCCCTACTACACTATTGACTGAGCACAATGAGGATAGTGCTGTGAATGTGTGAACCAGTGGGAGCTGGATGTGTGACGGGAGAGAGGGGTGATGACTTGTCTTTGTTCGACAGGGAGACCGGGGGCTGGCCGGACCGAGGGGGCCAAGAGGACAGACGTGTGCAGGAATCAAAGGAGAAAAGGTGGGCTGTAAATACATCATTAATCAATGCCATTCACACAAACATGCCATGTCTACCCAACAAAAGACCTAATGAAGTTCATAAAGAAGCCTTGGATCCTCCCTCTGGGCCTCCTTGAAGCGCTCCATTGAGAAAGAAAGGGCGGGGGGAGGGTTATAGCTGTAGTTACTGTGGGAAAGTTGAAGGTAGGATTCTTTTTGCATGTTGTAGGATTCAATAAACAACCATGCCAAATTGTTACATACAACTACTGGCATAACCAGTGTCTAGCACTCAAATTAAACCACATTTATTGGTGGTTAGGGATTTTATCTCTCTGTAGTCAAGAACAAGATATTGTATATGCTGTATATCACATTTAAAGAAGGCACTCATGCAGATATTCAGCCTGGTGATTCTATTAGTACCAATTATCTTGATTTTAAGACATAAAGGCCAATAAACTCATGAAGGGTCAAATGACAACCTAGACCTCAAACAGGGCCGGATTAATGCAGGGGTTTAACGGCTGAAGCCCCTGGGCCCAGACCCATGGGGGGCCCAAGAGGAAGCAAAAAAGTAATATATTGATATTAATAATAATGTTTTACAATAAATAATAATAAAGGAAATATATACTGTATATATTATATACTGTATGTAGTATATATTTTGTATTTTTTTTTACAGCAACTGCCAACCACAGGAGGACTCAGGAGCCTGCTCTCAATGAGTGTAGACTGTGGATAACTGTGGATTTAAATAACTGTGGATTAGGTTTTATCACAAGCACATACAGGTATCTGCCAAAATAAAGGAAACACCAACATAAAGTGTCTTAAAAGGGTGTTGGGCCACCACGAGCTGCCAGAACAGCTTCAATGCGCCTTGGCATAGATTCTACAAGTGGACCTAAACCATGCCAGGAAAATGCACCCCACACTATAACATATACTTTGTATACCTTGCTTACGCAAGTGTTTCCTTTATTTAGGCAGTTATCAGTTTGCCTACAGTTGAGAAGGCCGCAGTTTGGGCAGCATGCGTGTCAAATATACAGCGTGTCAAATATACAGCATGCGTGTCAAATATACAGCGTTGTGGCCATAGACATATAATCCATAGAAGGGTTTTGGAACCTCTTACCCTGGCAATTTGACTGTTAAACTCATTGGTACACTAGCGATGGATGCCAGTCCTGACTTGAATGGGAACTGCCATCTATGGATTATATTTTTATGGTTGGTTGCGGCTGTTGGTTTGCCTTTTACAGATTTCTAAATACATTCGTGGGGAAAACGTGCAGTTTGGAAAGCAAATGCCCACTGCTGAAAAGAGAAGACTATTCTGTCTTTAGAACCAATAGAAGAAAAAACAATTCTCGGCGCTTGTAACGCCAAGGTAGTGGGTTCGATCCCCGGGACCACCCATACACAAAAAAATGTATGCACGCATGACTGTAAGTCGCTTTGGATAAAAGCGTCTGCTAAATGGCATATTATTATTATTATTATTATTAACAACTCCCAATTTTTAGCTAACAGCAGCACTGTTTTATATCAGTATATCATCTTGAGATAGGCTATTGCCACAATGAGCGCATCGGCCATCACAGTGAGCTGGGGGGAGAGGAGCCTATAAAAAACAAAACCCTGGGACTTATGATTTCTTCATCCGGCCCTCAACCCTTTTTATGTTTGACCTCAGGGTGAGTTCGGGCCTCCAGGTCATCCAGGACTTGTTGGACTTACGGGAGCGGGCATCCAGGGGGAGAAGGTAAGCTGAGTGGCGAAGAGTAACGTGACACTACACTTGCATGCACATCACACACGTGATTGTGATTTTTATTCCCCAGGGAGTGGAGGGTCCCAGGGGTCCACCTGGCGGCAGAGGGCCTCAAGGAGAGGGCTTACCTGGACCTAAGGTTGGTAAAGACCATGCAAAGCCATGAATTGATGGCCAAGACCATATAATTCTCTGATTGCTGTTGTTTGTAGCTAGCCTGTTGTTTTTGCCTGGTGGATTTCTTCACACTACTTTCCATTCTCTTATTTCTAGGGCGATCAAGGTTTACCAGGAGAGCTTGGAGCTACAGGGGAGAGAGGCGTTGGTGAGCCAGGGGCAAAGGTAAGACAAATACCTTATCCACCCTCTTCCAAGTAATAAAAAACACCTTCTCAAATAAGCCTGTTGAACTTGTGATATATTTTAAAAAGCAATTTGTTTATTTTCCAGGGTGAGCCTGGTGCATCTGGCCTGGCTGGCTTACCTGGTCTTCCAGGCGAGGACGGGGCTCCAGGACAGAAGGTGTGTTATTTCACCTTTACACCACTTCTATAGATCCAGTGTAGTTCTATAGATCCAGTGTAGTTATATTGATCCAGTGTAGTTATATTGATCCAGTGTAGTTCTATAGATCCACTGTAGTTCTATAGATCCTGTATAGTTATATAGATCTAGTGTAATTCTATAGATCCAGTGTAGTTCTATAGATCCAGTATAGTTCTATAGATCCAGTATAATTCTATAGATCCAGTATAGTTCTATAGATCCAGTATATTTCTATAAATACAGTATCATTCTAAAGATACAGCATAGTTCTATAGATCTTATATAGTTATATAGATCCAGTATAGTTCTATAGATACAGTATACCACAAAGAAAAGGAATATGTCAATGTGAAATGGTTTCTGTCTGTCCCATCTACCCTTCGCCACTGCCAGGGTGAGGTGGGTGTAGCTGGCATAAGAGGTCCTGAGGGAGCAGCAGGGATCGGCACCCAGGGCGAGAAGGTGCATTTCACATCCTTACCGTTCTGTCATACTAACCTGTAAGCACCAAGAGGGGGTCATGTAAAATATGCGTGCTCCACCCCTACCAGGGAGACCAGGGTCAGAGGGGCATCCGTGGATTACATGGACCTCCTGGCATGACCGGACCGTCAGGGGCAAAGGTAATATTAACAATAATAATAATAATAATTGGTTGCATTTATGTAGCGCCTACAGTAGGTGCTCAAAGCGCTTTGCATAGTAAGGGGGAAACTCAATGTGTAGCACCCATTATTTTGTGCCAGAATGCTCACCACACATAAGCTAGCATGGTGGAGAGGTGAAGAGTGATATATGCCAATTGGGAATCAGGGGGATGATTAGGTGGCTATGATTGAAAAGGGCCAGGTTGGGAATTTGGCCAGAACAGCGGGTTAACACCCCTACTCTTACGATAAGTGCCATGGTGAGAATAACACTGGCTGAGACCAAACACAATCTGATCACAGCACGGCAGATTTAGTGAACCTGATAGTATTGTTTGCTTTGAACTACCATTATTTATTAAATGAACGTCTATTTAGGTTATTTACAACCAACACTCAACACACACTCTAGTAACTGCATATTTGTTCGAGATTGTTGTAACAGTAGCCCAACAATTTGAGTTCAACCAAAATACACTAGAAGATTACAAAAGTGGCAAACATCTGTGCAGGCTGTTGGTAGTGTAGGGAGTGTTTGGATAAAGGGAGTGTCTGTAGAGTTCGAGTGAAATTCTTGCCCATTCTTCTTTCAGGGGGAGCCTGGCACACCAGGCCGACTGGGCATGCCAGGACTACCGGGACGGGCCATTGCAGGTCCCAAGGTAAGACATCCACATCTATTAACACCCTGTTTCTCTATGCAGGTCTTGGCAGGTACTGTACACATTTGGCAGGCCTGTGAGCTTGCAGTAAGAAACACTGTTACACGCAGTCCATTGCAATGCATCGTCAGATCCTGGCTGATGAACAGCATTGGGATTATCTTATCTCATTCTCTGTCTCAGGGTGATCTAGGCCCTCCTGGTCCCTCTGGGCCTATTGGAGAGACAGGCTATGGGCTACCTGGGCCAAAAGTAAGTGTTGCAATTCACAACAAAGAAAGATATGATATTACTATTACTATGAGGCACATGCTCATCGTTTGAATGATGTTTTTACCAGGGTGACCGTGGTAATCCAGGTCCATCAGGTCCTTTTGGGCCCAAAGGTGAAGGTTTCCCTGGTCCAGTGGTGAGTACTTACAACCAACATGAATTAACTGCAGATTACTGGTGTTAAACCAAACTTAGTCTCTCATTAAGTTTGGATTGTTCCCTGTTCCTTTTTTAGGGTCCTCCAGGCCTTCCAGGTCTACAGGGAGAGCAGGGCCCTGAGGGTGTTGGCATCCCAGGACCTAAGGTACTTGTTATGTATCTGTCCCTAAATCTTCTATGCATGTCAATCTGCTACAACGTACTACATGTCAATGTGAATGTGTATTATGTATTGCATGTGACTCTAAATCTGTATGTCCCAGGGAGACATTGGCTTCAGAGGATTGCCAGGTTTGCCAGGCCCAAAAGGAAAGGGTGTGCAAGGACCACCGGTATGAAGCTAATATTAACAAAACGTCCATTATTCAGCCATAGGTCACATTCTGAGTGTAATACGTGGCATAGCTTAACACATACCAGTAGTCCAGCTGTGATGGCAATGTCAAATTTAATCAACTTTATTTATAGTCTGTAGCCTGTCCGTCCCCTACGCATAACACTAACATAATTGGTTTCCAGGGTAACATGGGAAGGCAAGGACCCCCTGGTCCAAACGGGCCCCCAGGGGAAGGTCTGCAGGGCCCCAAGGTATGTTTAATAACACAGTCCACTCCTGACCTATGACCTTTAGTGTGCTATAGCTCTTTTCCAAGTACATTGCCTTTGGGTAAATGATTGATTGATTTATGGTTCATCTTTTGTATTTTAGGGTGAGCAGGGGTCTCAGGGTGTGACAGGGCCAAGGGGACCCTTAGGGGAAGGATTCTCAGGAGCTAAGGTAAGAGGATGACTTCAACTCATACTTCAACTCATACTTCAACTCATACTTCAACTCATACTTCAAATCATAACTTCAACTCATTACGCTCTTCTACTGATGGATGCAGTGACCTTGTCTCTAACAACAGCCCTCCTGTTTCTTCCTCCTGTCTCTTCACTGCAGGGCAACCGTGGCTTGCAGGGTGAGAGAGGAAATAAGGGTGTAAAGGGGGACATGGGAGATCCTGGGGTTCCTGGAGAGTCTGTGCGTTTTCTAAATATTAATTGTTTTACTGAAATTGCTGTTTTATGTTATTTTGTATAATTTCAAAGTAGTGATGTATGAATCATTCAAATGTTTTCTCATATCTCAGGGGAGGCCAGGAGTAAAGGGTGAAGCAGGGCTTACAGTAAGTTCACAAACTTTACACACTGCTTGATTGATTCTGTGTAATAGAGAACAATATGAAATATGAATATAACTTTCACACTTCTATCACTTCCAGAGAGAAGACATCATTAAATTGATCAAGGAAATCTGTGGTAAGACTAACACCATGATAATAATAAATCCAAGCTAAAACATAAAGAATAAATTAAATAATGTTAGGAGTTATTCAGCATCTTTCTCTTGCTTTTAGGATGTGGAATCAAGTGCAAGGAGAGGCCAATGGAGCTTGTATTCGTCATTGACAGCTCAGAGAGTGTTGGTCCGGAAAACTTTGAAATCATCAAGGACTTCGTCACAGCATTGGTGGACCGTACCACTGTTGGACGTAACGCCACCAGAATTGGACTGGTCCTGTACAGTCTGGATGTCCACCTGGAGTTCAATCTGACGCACTACATGACCAAACAAGATGTCAAGCAGGCCATCAGGAAGATGCCCTACATGGGTGAGGGCACCTACACTAGCACTGCCATCCGGAAGGCTACCCAGGAGGCCTTCTACAGTGCCCGTACTGGGGTTAGGAAGGTGGCCATTGTTATCACAGATGGACAGACAGACAAACGAGAGCCTGTGAAGCTGGACATTGCTGTGAGGGAGGCCCATGCTGCCAACGTTGAGATGTATGCCCTGGGGATTGTCAACACCTCATATACAAACCAGGCCGAGTTCCTGCGTGAACTTAATCTGATCGCCTCTGACCCTGACAGTGAACATATGTACCTCATCGACGATTTCAACACTCTACCAGGTGACTAACACGGTCATATGTGTGTAGTATCACACATTACTTAATACAAAGCTGTTGTTCAGTAAAAACAACTTCACCCTTTATTCTGTCATACAGATATCATATATTATACTTTAACTGAGGTTGTCATTTCTCTCCTGTCTTTCAGCTCTGGAGTCAAAACTTGTTAGCCAGTTCTGTGAGGATGAGAATGGAGCCCTTGTGTTGAATCGCATCGCTAATGGCTTTGGAAGGAATGGGAACAACGGCAATGGGAACAACGGACATGGGAACAACGGACATGGGACCAACGGACATGGGACCAACAGACATGGGAACAACGGACATGGGAACAACGGACATGGGAACAACGGACATGGGAATAACGGCTATGTGGACAGCGGCTATGGAACCACCTATAATAAGGATCCTATCCTAAATCCGAGTAGACGCACCAGTTCCCAGAGTCACATCAGAGGCCGTGGAGATAACTTTACTCTGCCCCTCAATCCTGGACCACTCCCAGTGCAGGTCCAAGTAGGCCTTTACAGGACACATTTATATCATACAAAGTAACTCTCCTTAGGCATTATAGAGGACCAATTGAATGATTGCTTTGTAATAGTCATTGCTCTGCTAGTCAATTAATACAATTTTAGCAGTAGAGGGTTGAGTTACCGTCTAACTAATCTATGTGTGTGTGTCATCAATCAGGTGGATGATGAAGAGGGTGAGGATTTAGACATAAGGAACCGCGTGCGAGGAGGTAGTACTGTGGCTGTAGTTAACAAAACAGTATCCATCCTCCCTGCAAGGGAAAGCTCCCACTCCAACACAGCTGTCTCAACATCATCATCAGGATCAGCATCATCATCATCCTCAGGAACATCAGGTTCACCTTCATCGTCCAGCAAGGGCCAATTTCGGCCTGTATCAATTCCAATCCCTAATTCTATTTTCCCCCAAGGTTAGGACCTAACACTGCAACATGTTCACAACTACATCAATAGTCACGTCATCTCTCAATATGTTGTGTTAGATTAAGAAACATGGTCATTTCTGTCTTGGAAGTTAACATTCAAATATCTTTACACGTTTTCAAATTCCTTGAATGTATGTCATACCTCTCCTTCGATGTTGTTTTGTCAGAATCCATCCCGCTCGATCCCCTCTGTAACCTGAGTTTGGACCAAGGCACCTGTCGAGAGTATAACATCCGGTGGTATTACGACAAACAGGCCAATTCCTGTGCACAGTTCTGGTATGGAGGCTGTGAAGGAAATGCCAACCGTTTTGAGACAGAGGATGAGTGTAAGAAGACCTGTGTTCTATCTAGAACAGGTATGTCCCACAGCTCATAGAGATCTTAAGCCTCTGTGCTCTGTTTTCTGGCATTCTTTTTGACATGCTCTCTCTGTATTTTCCACAGCTGGTTAAAACAGGCAGATGATCAATCAACTCATCAGAACAATCATCCATGGAACCAACTAACCAAAGTGCAGAGGATTATTTGAACAGTATTTAATAATAGTCAACTACTGATATCTAAATATGGTATATTTACAACAGGCATTTATCATTGGAAATAACTATATTTTGCAGCTCTCTGTGTCTCTCTCTCTTGAGGTGTAGAGAATTGGGGAGGGACATGCTACTTCTAGATTTCATGAAGTTGCCTTTCTTTTCAGATGTATGGTTATTTGAACAACATCTTCATATTTATGTGGACTTTATTTACGGAAGTCTGAATTTGAAGAAAATAACATTGCTATGGTAACTGTTTTATTACATTTGAAAAATGATCACATACCTTACTCATTAAATTAATATTGGATGAACTAATCCATTCAATACCTCAATGTTACTCAACCTTAAGCTGTACTGAATAAAGGGGAGAGGTTCAAGCCCAACTTTTGTCATTTCAGGTTTACCTGAGAAAAACATCACATAATGTCAATTCTCATACCTCTTAGCCATAAGCATATTGTGCTGCATTATGTTGTCCCACAATATCATCTTATAATATAGGGATAGTCTTCTAGAATACATTATTTTTGTAGTATATGTTTGAATTCAGTTTTTTTTAAGCAAAATAAATTAAATAGGTGCTGTAATTATTTTTCTTGTTTGTTTAATGATATGAATTAGTCCGTTTTAGTGACAGTATGCAACTTGTACTATGGATTTTTATTTCCTTAGTGTTTTAGGAAATCGCACGTTACTGTTGATGAAAAAGCTAACTTTGAAATGAATCATATTTTTTACATGTGGACTGGTTTTGATGATTTGGTTTTTATTGATTGAAAAAGTATAGATTGATTGATTGATTGATTGATTGGACAGCCTGAACATGTGAAAGTTGGTTTGGTGTCCCGTGTAGCTCAGTTGGTAGAGCATGGCGCTTGCAACGCCAGGGTTGTGGGTTCGTTTCCCACGGGGACCAGAATGAAAAAATGTATGCACTCACTAACTGCAAGTCGCTCTGGATAAGAGCGTCTGCTAAATGACTAAAATGTCTCTAGCATGAAAGGTTCAAGAGTTACTATTATTGTTGGTGGGTTATTTAATGCTAATCTATACACATTTAAACAGTTATAGTTTATAAAGTTTTGAAAATGTAATTCTTTAACAAATATTTTTAGCTGAAATGGTTAAATAGCAGTAGCATTTGAAATGTCGACCACTGTGTGTCACGATCGTCAGGGAGAGACCAATGCGCAGCGTGTTGAACGAACATGTTAACTTTATTATCTTTAGTGATAATCTACACAATAAACAAAACAAGAAACGACTCGTGAAGTCCACGGTGACAATGACCGAACACGGAACAAAAACCCACAAACACAAAGGGAAAAACAGACAGTTTAAATATGGCTCCCAATCAGAGACAACCAGCCAACAGCTGACACTCGTTGCCTCTGATTGGGAGTCACTCAGGCAAAACATAGAAATCAACAAACTAGAACCCCCAACATAGAAATAAACCACATAGAATGAACACACCCTGGCTCAACAAATAGAGTCCCATAGCCAGGGTGTGACAGTACCCCCCCCTAAAGGCGCGGACTGCGACCGCGCCTCAAAAAGAGCAAAACAGGGGAGGGCTGGGTGGGCATACCTCCTCGGCGTGGCGGTTCTGGCTCCGGCCTTGCCCACCACCCTCCACCCTCCTTGCCCACCACCCTCCAACAAACCCCTGTCCCTGCGTGGAGCAGGGACAGGCCGAACCGGGCTGTGGAGACGGATAGGAGACCTGGAGTGAAGAGCGGCCACAACCCGTCCTGGCTGAATGCCTACCCTCACACACTCTGTGTGAGGCATCCGCACAGGACGTACAGGGCGGTGTATCCGTAACCTGGTGGCCTTCTGGATCCGCCCCTTTTCTGCCTCCGTCAGCCCCGTCGTCCATGCCGTGTGCCCCCCCCTAAAAAATTTCTGGGGTTGCCTCTCGACCGTCCGACGACGACCCTGATCACGCCGTTGCTCCTCTCTCCGTCGCCTCTCCACTGTCTCACTCCATGGCCGGCGATCCATCCCGGCCAGGATTTCCTCCCAAGTCCAGGACCCTTTACCGTCCAATATCTCCTCCCATGTCCAGGCTGCCTGCTCCTATCTACGGCGCGCCTCCACCGTCTCTTCTCCTGGCGCTTCCTCCCATGTCCAGCCCAAGAGCTGCCCCTGGACACGCTGCTTGGTCGTTGCATGGTGGGTTTTTCTGTCACGATCGTCAGGGAGAGACCAATGCGCAGCGTGTTGAACGAACATGTTAACTTTATTATCTTTAGTGATAATCTACACAATAAACAAAACAAGAAACGACTCGTGAAGTCCACGGTGACAATGACCGAACACGGAACAAAAACCCACAAACACAAAGGGAAAAACAGACAGTTTAAATATGGCTCCCAATCAGAGACAACCAGCCAACAGCTGACACTCGTTGCCTCTGATTGGGAGTCACTCAGGCAAAACATAGAAATCAACAAACTAGAACCCCCAACATAGAAATAAACCACATAGAATGAACACACCCTGGCTCAACAAATAGAGTCCCATAGCCAGGGTGTGACACTGTGTTCTTATGGTTGGCATTGAATCCATTGCGTTTTATGCTAATTTCTGCAAATGAATATTGTTAAAGTTTATAAAGGTTATAGACAATTTGAAGTTAGGATAGCCTGAACGTTTTAAAGCTGGTCTTTTAGCTTAAATGGCCAAGGAGCAGGATCGTTTTGAATAGAAACCACTGTATTCCTATGGTTCTCATTCAAACCCATGTTATTTTATGCAAATTTAAAATGGTTATAGTTCAAAAAGTATAAATAGTATAAGAAAATCTGAATAAGAACAATCTAAATTGGGTCAGTCTGCACACTTCACCGTTGGTTTGGTGTTGATAGCTTAAACGCTTCAAGAGGTGTAGCGTCTAAAATGTTCAATTTCTTTGGCCCTTTTATGGCTATTGAAATGCATTGGAGATCATTTTAAATATTGTTGTAGATCAAAAAGTATAAATGCTATCGAAAAGATTTTCTCAAGCAATCTACTTTGGGGCAGTCTGCACATTTGAAAGTTGGTTTCGTGTTTATAGCTTAAAGCGTTTAAGCACTAGAGTGAGGGGAAAAATACAACAATAACTAGAAAAAGTAACGTTTCTGAAGAAACTTTGTGTGCTTGCTTAATCTGTGTCAGGGATAGCAATACAAGAAGTATATGTAACATTTTAAGTTAGCCTGAACATTTTAAAGTTAGTAAAATGTTCATAACTTTAAAAGGTAGAGTCTAGCGATATGACATAGATGCACAAAGTAAACAGCATAGTGGGTCAATTTCCGCAACAACTAAGAGCGTTGGAGAGCGAGGAAAAACTTCTCCACTGTTTTGGTCCGGTGGCTACCACGTTGTAAGAGTGTGAAGCGAACCCGTACACATGTGCAGATATTGTGTGTGACTGTGCGAGAGCGAAGTCTTGCATCTTGCTCATCACAATATCTGTGGTGCTGCTCATTCAACGTCATTTGCAGCATTTACTCTAATTTGCAAATTAATGCAAATTCATCTAACAAAATCTAAGCTATTGTAAGTCGGAATAGCCTATGTTGTCTAGTTGGATTGATGTTTCTATCTTATATCACCAATCTTCAGTATTCAGAAAGTATTCATACCCCTTGACTTATTCCACATTTTGTTGTATGTGTGTGTGTGTGTGTCTGAATTCAAAATAGATTAAACATACTTTTTTTCTCACCCATCTACACACAATACCCCATAATGACAAAGTGAAAACACATTTTTAGACATTTTTGCAAATGTATTGACAATGAAATACAGAAATATCGAATTTACATAAGTATTCACACCCCTAGGTCAATACATGCTAGAATCACCTTCGCAAGCGATTACAGCTGTGAGTCTTTCTGGGTAAGTCTCTAAGAGCTTTGCACACCTGGATTATACAATATTTGCCCATTATTCTTTTCAGAATTCTTCAAACTCTGTCAAATTGGTTGTTGATCATTGCTAGACAACAATTTTCAAGTCTTGCCATAGATTTTCAAGCATATTTAAGTCAAAACTGTAACTCAGCCACTCAGGAACATTCACCGTCTTCTTGATAAGTAACTCCAGTGTATACACTGAGTGTACAAAACATTAGGAACACCTGCTCTTTCCATGACATAGACTGACTAGGTGAATCCAGGTGACAGCTATGATCCCTTATTGATGTCACTTATTAAATCCATTCAGAGGGTGAATGGGCAAGTCAAAAGATTGAAGTGCCTTTGAACGGGGTATGGTAGTAGGCGCCAGGCGCACCATTTTTGAGTGTGTCGAGAACTGCAACGCTGTTGGGTTTTTCACGCTCAACAGTTTCCCGTGTGTATAAAGAATGGTCCACCACCCAAAGGACATTCAGCCAACTTGACACAACTGTGGGAAGCATTGTAGTCAACATGGTCCAGCATCCATGTGGAACGCTTTCTACACCTTGTATCGTCCATGCCCTGATGAATTGAGGCTGTTCTGAGGGCAAAAGGGGGTGCAACTCAATATTAGGAAGGTGTTCCTAAGGTTTTGTACACTCAGTGTATTTGGCCTTGCATTTTAGGTTATTGTCCTGCTGAAAGGTGGATTTGTCTCCCAGTGTCTGTTGGAAAGCAGACTGAACCAAGTTTTCCTCTAGGACTTTGCCTGTGCTTAGCTCTATTCCTTTTATTTTTATCCTAAAAAACTCCCTAGTCCTTGCCGATGACAAGCACACTCATAACATGTTGTAGCCACCACCATGCTTGAAAATATGAAGAGTGGTACTCAGTGATGTGTGTTTGATTTGCCCCAAACGTAATGTTTTATATTCAGGACAAAAAGTTAATTTCTTTGCCACATGTTTTGCAATATTCCTTTAGTGCCTTATTGCAAACAGGATGCATGTATTGGAATATTTTAATTCTGTTCAGGCTTCCTTCTTTTCACTCTGTCATTTAGGTTAGTATTGTGGAGTAACTACATTGCTGTTGATCCATCACAGCCATTTAACTCTGTAACTGGTTTAAAATCACCATTGGTCTCATGGTGAAATCCCTGAGTGGTTTCCTTCCTCTCTGTCAACTGAGATAGGAAG